AAACTGAAACGTGTGCGTGCCCAAACTTCATAGTCTTTTTCCCATTCTGTTGTGGAAACCCAGGCTCATCACATGTGAGTAAGTGTTTAAGCTGATATCAGTGATTATTCTGGAACACCACCACGCTCTCCCCCCAACATTCCAGAACATTTCACTCTCCCAGGCCACTCAAAAAAATAAAAATAAAAATAAATAAACAAGCAAACAAACACCCCCCACAGTTTGGTAGACAAGAGAACCAATGAGCAGGGGGGATTGTGTGAAGTCATACAGCTTGTCAGTGATAGAGGTGAGACAAGAAGAAGGAGTCCAGGTCAAAACACTCCCTCTCCAGTGCTCTTTCCAGACAGAGTTTGGCTCTTGTTTCCCAGGCTGAAATGCAATGGCCTGATCTCAGCTCACCAAAACCTCCACCTCCTGGGTTCACGCGATTCTCCTGCCTCAGCCTCCCAAGTAGCTGGGATTACAGGCATGCACCACCACTCCTGGCTAATCTTGTATTTTTAGTAGAGATGGATTTTCCCCATGTTGGTCAGGCTGTCTCAAACTCCTGACCTCAGCCTCAACCTCCCAAAGTGCTGGGATTACAGGCGTGAGCCTTTTTTTTTAATTTTAAGAGACAAGGTCTCACTGGGTCATTTAGGTTGGAGTGAAGTGGTGTGATCTGTCGCATAGTGATCATGGCTTACGGCAGCCTCGACCTTCCAGTCTCAAGCAGTCCTCCCACCCCATTTTCACAAGTGGCTGGGATTACAGGGGTAAGCCACTGCACCCAGCTATCTCTCCCCCTGATTTTTTTTTTTTTTTTTTTTTGAGATGATGTCTTGGGCTGGAGTGCGTGATCTCGGCTCACTGCAACCCCTGCCTCCTGGGTTCACACAATTCTCCTCTGGAGTAGCTGGGATTACAGGCGCACACCACCACACTCGGCCAATTTTTTGTATTGTTAGTAGAGATGGAGTTTCACTATGTTGGCCAGACTGGTCTCGAACTCCTGACCTCGTGATCTGCCCACCTCGGCCTCCTGAAGTGCTGGGATTATAGGCATGAGCCAACCGCCCAGCCCTCTCCCATCCTTCAGGAAAGGAAATCCCCAGCCTTCCTGTTCTAATCTCTCTTAGATTGGTCCATTCCTTTCCAAGCTCTGATGACTTTCACTAAGTGAAATAACCTATGCAAAGCATATATTGGGCACCAGAAAAAACTGTTATTCGTTTCTTCTACCCGAATGTTTATTCTCTTACCTGAAAAATTATTTTATTGGGCACCAAAAAAAATTACTATTCATTTATCTCACTTGAAAGATTGAGACAGACCACTAACTAGTCTGTCACCTTGCTGACCCCCTAAAGTATCTGCTCTCCACTGCCAGGATAATCTTCCTACGGGGCAGCTCTAATCGTGTCATTCTTCCTTTTATTTTGAGACAGGGTCTGATCTGTCACCCAGACTGGAGTGCAGCAGCAGGATCTTGGCTCACTGCAACTTCTGCCTCCCAGGCCCAAGCAATCCTCCCACCCTAGCTTCCTGAGTAGCTGGGACTACAGACGCAGGCATCACCAGACCTGGCCAATTTTTTGTATTTTTGGTAGATAGGGTTTCACCATGTTGCCTAGACTGATCTCGAACTCAAGTAATCTACCCGCCCGGCCTCCCAAAGTGCTGGGATTACAGTGTGAGCCACTGCACCCAGCAGTGCCCGCTCTTATACTAGAGCCATCACACATTCCTCACGAATAAAAGTGACTTTGCTTTCTTTTTTTTTTTGGCTGAGTGCTTCTAGGTAGATATCTTTTTTTTTTTTTTTGAGATGGAGTTTCGCTCGTTACCCAAGCTGGAGTGCAATGGCGCGATCTCGGCTCATCGCAACCTCCGCCTCCTGGGTTCAAGCAATTCTCCTGCCTCAGCCTCCCAAGTAGCTGGGACTACAGGCTCACGCCACCATGCCCAGCTAATTTTTGTATCTTCAATAGAGACGGGGTTTCACCATGTTGACCAGGATGGCCTCGATCTCTCGACCTTGTGATCCACCCGTCTCGGCCTCCCAAAGTGCTGGGATTATAGGCGTGAGCCACCGTACCCAATCGACTTTGCTTTCTTTTGAACATTTTTATAATTTTTAATGTGCTCTACTGCATTTATGTGCATTCTGTTTTGGATTATCCCTACTAGTGATTAGAATAAAAAGAACAGCTTTTATTTGTGCAGCTATATATAGCTACAAAGCACTTTTATAGACATTAGCCCACTAATCTTAAGAATAAAGATGGCTGGGTGTGGTGGCTCACACCTGTAATCCCAGAAATTTGAGAGGCTGAGGCGGTGGGGTCACCTGAGTTGGGAGTTCAAGACCAGCCTGTCCAACGTGGTGAAACCCTGTCTCTACAAAAATATAAAAAGTAGCCGGGCATGACAGCAGGTGCCTATAATCCCAGCTACTCTGGAGGCTGAGGTAGGAGAATTGCTTAATCCCAGGAGGCGAGGTTGCAGTAAGCTGAGATCATGCCCTTGCACTCCAGCCAGGGTGACTGAGCGCCGAATAAAGAATAAAGATAACCTCTTATTTGTTTATTAACATAGTTACCGATGCATCTTTTTTTTTGTTTTTTTTTGTATTTGAGACAGAGTCTCACTCTGTCACCAGGTGTCAGGCTGGAGTGCAGTGGCACGATCTCGGCTCACTGCAACCTCCGCCTCCCAGGTTCAGGCAATTCTCCTGCCTCAGCCTCCTGAGTAGCTGGGACTACAGGTGCGTGCCACCAGGCCCAGCTAATTTTTAGTGTTTTTAGTAGAGACAGGGTTTTACCATGTTGGTCAGGATGGTCTCGATCTCTTGACCTTGTGATCTGCCCACCTCGGCCTCCCAAAGTGCTGGGATTACAGGTGTGAGCCACCGTGCCCAGCCTACCAATACATCTTTTAAGGAACATCCTTCATACTTTTTTTGTTTGGTTTGTTTGTGGTTTTTTTTGAGACTGAGTTTCACTCGTTACCCAGGTGGGAGTGCAATGGTGCCATCTCGGCTCACCGCAACCTCCGCCTCCTGGGTTCAATCAATTCTCCTGCCTCAGCCTCCTGAGTAGTTGGGACTACAGGCGTGCGCCACCATGCCCAGACAATTTTTGTATTTTTAGTAGAGACGGGGTTTTACCATGTTGACCAGGATGGTCTCGATCTCTTGACCTCGTGATCCACCTGCCTCGGCCTCCCAAAGTGCTGAGATTATTAGCGTGAGCCACCGCACCCAGCCTTGGTTTGTTTTTTTTTTTTTTTTTTTGAGACGGAGTTTCGCTCTTGTTACCCAGGCTGGAGTGCAATGGCGCGATCTCGGCTCACCACAACCTCCGCCTCCCGGGTTCAAGCAATTCTCCTGCCCCAGCCTCCTGAGTCGCTGGGATTACAGGCACGCGCCACCATGCCCAGCTAATTTTTTGTATTTTTTTTAGTAGAGATGGGGTTTCACCATGTTGACCAGGATGGTCTCGATCTCTTGACCTCGTGATCCACCCGCCTCGGCCTCCCACAGTGCTGGGATTACAGGGTTTGTTTGTTTTTGAAATGGAGTCTTGCTCTGTTGCCCAGGCTGAAGTGCAGTGGCATGATCTCTGCTTACTGCAACTTCCACCTCCCATATTCAAGCAATTCTCCTGCCTCAGCTTCCAGAATAGCTGGGATTATAGGCACCTGCTGTCATGCCTGGCTACTTTTTATATTTTGTGAAGACGGGGTTTCACCCTGGTCTTGAACTCCTGACCTCAGGTGATCTGCCCTTCTTGGCCTCCCAAAGTGTTGTAATTACAGGCATGAGCAACTGCACCTGACCTCTTTGTTTATTTTTTAAAGAGACAGGGTCTGTCTCTGTTGCCCAGGCTGGAATGCAGTGGCATGATCATAGCTCACGGTAACCTCAAACTCCCCGGGTCAAGCAATCCTCCCACCCCAGCCTCTCAAGTAGCTAGGAGTACAGGTGCATACCACCATGCCCAGCTAATTTTTAAACTTTTTGTACAGATAAAGCCTGGTTCCACTGCCCAAGCTCAACACTATTACTTTTATCGTTTCAACTTGTATCTACAAACACCTCATTGCATACAAAACATTCTTTTCCACTAAGCCTTTAAACTGTATGGATTACCTCTTTATTTATCTTTGTCTCCTCCAGGATGGTTAGCACGATGTTTTACACAAAGTACATTCTCGGTACAGAACTGCTAATACCATGTTCTCAGGGTGGTCTGACCAACCCAGAGGAGAAAACTTAACAGCTCCTTGTCATAGGACCAGAGGTTCAGAGGCTGTTTGATGAAGGCAAAATTATAACGTATTTTTCCAGACAATCACCCCATAGCATTTATCAGATTCTTAAGAGTTTAGAGATCTCCAAAACAATAAACACTGCAGTTCAAGTTTCTATAATCTCTAGGAAATGCTGCCTAAGACTGTACATATTAACTCTTAGGGTGCCCTATCACAATCGATTCACATTAAGCTTATAAAATTACCCTACTCCATGAAGAAACTCATCCATTTACCTGCATTTGTGGGGGTGGGTACAACATGGTTCCCTCAAGGTCAGGGACCGCACTCAATTCAAGGTTGTATTCTTAGAGTTTAGCACAAACCTGCTATTGAGAGATAATTACAAGAACCATGAGCTGCTGAGTCACCCTTTACATGCATCAGACAGTGCTCTAAGCAGTTCATTAATTAACTCATTTCATTTTACAACAAAATTTTCTGGTATTATTTCCCCCATCTTACATATAAGGAAACTGATGCACAGATAAATTAAATAACTTATTTTTAGTAGAGATGGGGTTTCACCATATTGACCAGTATCGTCTCGATCTCTTGACCTCGTGATCCACCCGCCTCGGCCTCCCAAAATGAGTTCCTTTTTAACAGGATCTGATTAACTTAAACCTTTGTGATTGTATGCTCTTCCAGAAATGACTTTAAGAACCCCTTCTGTCATTATTGGCTCCTGGGGAAGCTCCACCTCATTCAGGACTCAAGCTTCATAAACATTTTTTTTCTCACAGGCCCCTTCAGCATAGCACAGAAGGAACACAGTTTCTAGAAGTTCCTTGACCTAAACTCAAACTTTGTCTCCTCTCAAATTAGTTGTATAAGCTTTTTTTTTTTTGGATCACAAACGCTGTATTTAAAGGTCCATCTAGGCCGGGCCCGGTGGCTCACGCCTGTAATCCCAGCACTTTGGGAGGCCAAGGCGGGTGGATCACAAGGTCAAGAGATCGAGACCACCCTGGTCAACATGGTGAAATCCCGTCTCTACTAAAAATACAAAAAATCAGCTGGGCATGGTGGCGCGTGCCTGTAATCCCAGCTACTCAGGAGGCTGAGGCAGGAGAATTGCCTGAACCCAGGAGGCAGAGGTTGCGGTGAGCCGAGATCGCGCCATTGCACTCCAGCCTGGGAAACGAGCGAAACTCCGTCTCAAAAAAAAAAAAAAAAAAAAAAAAGGTCCATCTCAATTTACTGTGGCGGCACAAAATAAAGGAGCAGGTCGTGACACACCATTTCCATCTCAAGTGGTCGAATCCAACATCCAAGGCCCAGTGAGCAGCCAAGCTCAGCACAACCTCCCATCCTCTCGCTCTGACTCCAACAGGGTGAGCACGTCGCCCTCGCGCACGGGGCCTTTTACATTGCGGATGATGGTGCAGCTTGTGTTGTCCCTAAATTCCATGCGCACCTGCATGCACTGTCCCTGAGAGCTGGTCCTGCCCAGGACCTTGGTGACCCTGGCCAGCTCGATAGGCTGCACATGGCTGGTATCCATCATGGCGGCTCAGGGGCGGTCTGGCGGACTTTTCTAAAAATTTTTTTAGAGCCAGGGTCTCACTCTGTCACTCAGGCTAGAGTGACACATGGGTGTAATCAGAGTGGTGCAATTATACCTCACTGCAGCCTCAAACTCCTGGGCTCAAAAGATCCTCCCACTTCAGCCTCCTGAGTAGCTGAGACCACAAGTATGCACCATCTAGCCCTGCTAACATTTTTTATTTTTATTTTTAGTAGAAACGAGGTCTTGCTATGTTGCCCAGGCTGGTCTCGAACTCCTCGGCTCAAGTGATCCTCCCACGTCAGTCTCCCAAGTGCTGAGATTACAGCATAAGCCACCATTCCTGCACCCAATCTTTTTTTTTTTGTTCTGGATCCTGGGAGATTTTTTTTTTTGAGACAAACTTTCGCTCTTGTTGTTCAGGCTGGAGTGCAATGGCGCAATTTCAGCTCACCCCAACCTCTGCCTCCCCATTCAAGCGATTCTCCTGCCTCAGCACCCCAGCACCCACCCCACCCCCCCAGTAGCTGGGATTACAGGCACGCACCATCATGCCTGGCTAATTTTTGTATTTTCTTTTAAGAGACGGGGTTTCTCCATATTGGCCAAGCTGGTGTTGAACTCCCGATCTCAGGTGATCCACCCGCTTCAGCCTCCCAAAGTGCTGGGATTACAGGCGTGAGCCACCGCACCCAGCCCCCAGTTTTTTAATTTAAAAAAAAAAAAAAAAGTCTCCTTAAAGTCTAGAGTGAAAATCTAATATCTCTGGCTATAATGTTCTTCTCCCAGGATCCCAGAACAACCCGTTTGCAAACCATCTCCCTTTTCTTGGTCAGAATTAAATCCACTCTGCTGGTGCTCACAGTCACATCAATTTCTTTCACTCTGGAAGACACATAGCATGGCGAGTCAGGAATGAGAGAAACTATCTGCTTTCAGAAAAAGAAGGTTCTTGGGAAATGTCAACCATTGAAGGACTCCATCATTACTACTACCTGGGCGTTGGTTAGTTTATTAGCTGAGACAAAAAGAACTCATACTTGATTATTCCACCTGGCAACGCAAACTGTAGTATTTCCTCAAAATGGAATCTCTTTGGCCCTCTACTCTTCTTCCCTCATCCTTATAACTTCTGGTGTGCTGCAAAGGATGCCATCTAGTATGAGAGAGAGAAAGACTTGGCTGGAGAGAAGGCTTCCACTCAAGCTTCTTCCTGGTGAGCTTGGCTTGAGGAATGAGCCACGTGTGTGTGAAGCAACTCTCTACACTAGGCACCCACCTCGGTGGTGGAACAGTGGCAGGAGTGATGCCATCAAGATGGAAGAATAACAGTTTCCAAAGAGGCAAACCATCTTTGGCTTCTCTGACATACTATGAAGCCTCTGCTAGGGGAGACTTCCTACAGAGAGTTCTCGGGAAGAGAAAGGAGTTAAATGCTAAGGCTTCCTTCAGCCACAGGACTTACCTCTGCTTCAGGACTACACAGAATCTCTCTCTACTTCCTTCTCTGTGCCCTGAGGGTCTCTGCTCCCCAAAGCACAAATGTCTTCTGATTCCTTAGTCTTCTTAACCAGGGTGATGATTTGGGATGAGTGAATTCCATCCCAATGTCCTGAGGGAAGTACATTTCCCAAAAACAAAGCTGCTAACTGGGCTGACACAAGACTCCCAAGTGCTGCCGTATATGTGCACTTGGCTCTTGTAAATAAAAAATAAATTTAAAAATAATAAAAATTTAAAAGTGCTGCAGGATAGGTCCTTTCAAGGGTCATGTTGTGATCTGCTGGGTAAGCGTTCAGTTCCAGCATTGCTACTAACTGCATGACCTTGAGAAAGTCACTTTTTCTCAGGGAAGTGATGGCCCAGGTCCTTTCCAGTTTTAATACTCTATGTGATCATACAAAATGCAAGAGCAGCTGGGACAGGTGGCTGATGCCTGTAATCCCAACACTTTGGTAGGCCAAGGTAGGAGATCACTTGAGACCAGAAGTTCAAGACCAGTGTAAGTAACACAGTGAAATCCCATCTCAAGATAAAAAGAAAAAAATGCAAGAATAGTCCCTCAAGTTTCCTTTTATAAAACAGAGGCAAAACTAAGCAGATATGAAAATACCAAAACAAGAAATCTGCCTTAATTTCTCCAGGATCCTCCATGCCCCAAATCTTTTTTTTTCTTTTCTTTTCTTTTTTTTTTTTTTTTTTTTTTTTTTTT